GCAACTCCAAGACATATTTTTCTTTCGAAAATATTGATTTTCTGCTCCCGGCGCCCTGGAACCCCTTCCGGGCCGATTCCGGCACCCAGGCCGGCGCTCGAACCGAACGCCCGGGCCGGCACCTGGGCTGGCGGCCTAGCCGGATCCAGCGCTGGCGTCGGCTCTGGCCGTCGCCGGAAAAATTGAATTCCGAGGCCGCGCTAACAAAACTCATCCAAACAGATTTTTCGAAAGTGCATCATTTCTGCTCCCGGCGCTCGGAGGCTTCTGCGTCTCAAGGAGAGGTGGAGCAGACATTAAAGGAGGTAAAATCAAGCACACGAACGCTATGGACGCGCGATGCGCTGCCACAAGCCAGCTTCCCGCAAGATCGGTCCAGAGTGGGAGGGGACGGAGCTGGGCGGGTGATGGACCACCAGAGCACTGCTCCAGCCTTCCCTCAGCCCTGGGTCTGCTGACCACACAGGAGCACGGCAGACCACACAGGAGCGCGGCAAACCACAAAGGAGAAAGGCAGACCCCAAATGAGCACGGCAGTCCACACGTTCGCACGGCAGACCGCACAGGAGCACGGCAGACCCCACATGAGCACGGCAGACCAAGAAGGAGCACGGCAGACCACACCGGAGCACGGCAGACCACACAGGAGCACGGCAGACCACACAGGACACGGCAGACCCCACGGGAGCACGGCAGACCACACAGGAGCACGGCAAACCACACAAGAGCACGGCAGACCATACAGGAGCACGCCAGACCACACAGGAGCACGGCAGACCAACACGTTCGCACGGCAAACTCCACAGGAGCACGGCAGACCCCAAAGGAGCACGGCAGACCACAGGAGCACTGCAGACCGTCTTCGAGGCCTCTTGGGCCGTCTTGGGGCCCTCTTGGAGCCATCTTAGCCGTCTTGGAGGCCATCTTGGCCGTCTTGGAAGAAATCTTGGGCGTCTTGGAGGCCTCTTGCGCCGTGTTAGGGCCCTCTTGGGACCGTCTTGGGGACTTCTTGGGCCGTTTCGGGGCCATCTTGAAGGCCTCTTGGGCGATCTTAAGCGATCTTGGGGGCATATGGGCCGTCGGGAACGCGGCAGGCATATATAGTTTTCTGTTTTTCGTGTTGTGCTGTTGCGTTTATGGGTTTCTCTGACGTTCTCGCCCAATACGGGTCTCTGACGCAACGTGGTGGATAAAAAACGGCGCTTCCCGTTCTTGTCGGTCAGGTTTCACAAAATGGCCATTTCGCTGGAGACATTCCTCGAAAAAATCGCAGGTGTTGGAGGCTATCGTTTAAGACGTCTTATGTCAAAAATGACGGTTTCGCTCGAGACATCCTCAAAAAATCGGGATGTTGAAAAATATCAAAAAATTTTCGTATGCATGAAAAATGAGCGTTTCGCTCGAGACATCCTCGAAAAAATGAGATGCCGACAGAGGTGTTTAGAACCTTTTATGTCAAAAAAGACGTTTTCGCTCGGGACGTCCTCAGAAAATGAAGCAGGTGGTCTGCCGTGCTCCTGTGTGGAGGCACGGCAGACCACGGCATTTCGCTCGAGACCATTTCTCCTAAAATCGAGGTTTGTGTTCTGCCGTGCTCCTGCGGGGTCTGCCGCGTGCCTCCGTGGTTGCCGTGCTCCCCACAGGAGGCACGGCAGACCGTCGCGTAGGAACGAAAGGAGCAGGCAGACCAAAGACGAGGAGCCACGGCAGACCAGCTAGGAACCGAGCGGAGCACGGCAGACGAAGCGAGGAGCACTGCAGACCAGGCACCAAGAGGCCCTCAAGACAGACGGAAAAAGGAGACCAAGACGAGGAGCACGGGCAGACCAAGACGAGGAGCACGGCAGACATGCCCTAGAGTTGCCCTCAAGATCGGCCGAAACAACGGCAGGACCCCATAGGGAGCACGGCAGAAGGGCAGACCACAGAAGAAGCAGGGCAGACCACAGGTGCAAGGCAGACCACACAGGAGCACGGGTCCGTAGCCATTTTGGCTCAAGGCCATGGCGCACCCGACGACCGCGAGTCCGTCGGGCGTTCTTGAGCGCGAGGGGCGCTCTGCCACGAGCCAGAAGCTTCGCCAATTTTGTTCTTCTTCGTTCCTGCAGGGCCGAGTGTCTCGGCCAAGCTGCGGCCAGTCCCTCGGTGAGCCGCCATGTCGGAGGTTGCCTCGGGGCTCGCTCGGAGGGCTTACTGGTTGTGTGCTAAGCGCGGCTGCAACGCTTGGAATTGGTGCGACAAGCGTTGGACGTGCAAGGCGTGTGGCACCTGTGCCCCCCCATGGACGAAGGAGTACCGCTCCGACAAGGTCTCCCCTCGGGTGGACGCCGACGGGTTCGTGCAGCAGCCCAGGGGAAGAGCTGACCAACGCGCTGCGAGGCGCTCCGCCTCTCAGCGGGCCCTCTCAGGGAGCACGGCACCCAGCAGCGCCCCCAACAGCAGGACACGGCGTGGGCGGTCCTTGGGAGAGGCCAAGTCTCAGTACGATGAGCTCCAGGCGCAGCTCGTGGCGGCCAAGGAGCGGGTCGTCAAGCTCCAGGCGACCGCGGAGCTCGGGCTCTCGGAGGGCTTCCAGCGTGAGGCGGAGAAGGCCCTCCAGCAGGGCAGGGACCAGGTCGCCGCGCTCGAGCAGTCGGCCCAGGAGGCCCAGCGTACGGGGCGCCCGCCCCACTCGGTCTTCCACATCGAGGCCAACGCCATCCAGAAGGTCGAGCGTCAGCTGGCCAATGCCCGCACCAAGAGGGAGAAGCTCCAGCTGCAGGCGGCTGAGCTGCGTGACCTCATCGCGGAGAAGCAGGAGCAGCTGTCTGCGGCCGAGTTGGGAGTGGATGAAGTTACTGGGCAGATTGCTGAGCTGGAAGAGACCAAGGCCAAGGTCACGCAGCAGGCGATCCAGAGGGCCAACGCGGCAGTCGGTGGGGTGCCGAGCCCGCTCGGGGACGCCGTTCAGGGGCTGCTCACGCAGGTCGGGGCCCTGTCGGACCTCCTCAAGCAGCACGGGGATGAGTTGCCCCCCAGGTTCTCCGAGATCGTCGACATTCTCAACACGCAGAAGGAAGCGGTCGCTGACGTGCTCAGACCCCGCAGCAGCTCGGCCAGGAAGCGCTGGGGCGACTGCGTTGGCGACGACGGCCTCGCGACTGAGGACGATGACATGCCGCTCGACACCGTGTCCTCAGGTGAGCCTGTGGCCGCCCCCGCCCCTGGAGGCCCGCGGACTGGCCAGTCCGCGGTTGGGCCGCCCGCCCCTCGGGCCAGGTCTGCGGGTGGACCCTACGGGCCCGCAGTGGCCCGTGGCCAGCACGGAGCGACTCTGGGTGCGTGGCCTCAGGTGGAGCCCTGCCTCGCCAAGGCCCTCGCAGAGCAGGGGGCGGCCTTCTCGGACGACGACCCCTTGGTGGCTGCGGCTGCTGCCGTGGCTCCTGCTGCAGGGTACGGGCCGCGCCGTGGGTGACGCAGGAGGGCTGGTGTGGCAAGCCTCCACAGCTCGGGGGCCCAGCTGCTGGGACAGGTGGAGGCGGCGCTGCGACGGCCGCTGGCGCGTCAGGGCCCCTCGCAGGCGGCGGGCGGCGCCCAAGGCCCGTGCCCGAAGTAGCCAGCTGGCGCGGTCGGGAACACCGTGGTGGCCCCCCGACGGCCAGTCAGGGGCCGAGAGCGGTGGGATTCAGCCCCACGACGTCGCAGCTCTCGGCCCCGTTGGTGAAGGGCAAGCGCACCCCCCGCTCGCTACCGGAGGGGCGGATGGACGGCCCCCCCCCCAGCGTTGGCCACCTCCCGCGCTGGCGTGCAGCCCGCCGACGCCGTCAAGGAGCGCTGGAGAGCGGGGCCAGGTCCCCCCTCCAGTCCTGGTGGGGGCGGAGGGCCCCGCGACCTGGGGCTCGGCGGGCTTGGAGCCTGGCGTTGAGGAGCGTGCGGCTCGCGAGGCTGCCGTCATCGGCAAGGCGCCGCCTGGTGACAGGGCAGGAGGCCAGCAGCTCCGAGCTGGCCTCGTCGTGCTCGGCTGCAATGGCAATACTTGGAGCAGGAGCATTGAGGTCATTGAAGCCTTCTTCAAGGCGCACGACTACTGGCCCGACGTCGTGGCGCTGCAGGAGACGAGGCTCCCGCATGAGCGCCTGCCCAGTGCGGCGGCTCAGGCTCGAGGCCTGGGGTACGTGGCCTTCCTCCATGCGGCAGTGTTGACGGAGAAGCAGGGGCCTCTGGCGACCTCAGGCGGCGTGGCGGTCCTAGTGCGGGACGGCCTTTTTGTTTCCCATTTTTTTTTTTTTTTTTTGTCTTTTTGTTCTTTTTTTTTTTTGTTTTTTCTTTTTTTTTTTATTTTTTTTGTTGTTTTTTTCTTTTTTTTTTTTATTTTTTTTTTATTTTTCATTTTTTTTTTTCTTTTTTCTTTTTTTTTATTTTTCCTTTTTTTTTTTTTTTGTTTTTTTTTCTTTTTTTTTTGTTTTTTTTATTTTTTTTTTTTTCCGTTTTTTTTTTTTTTTCTTTCTTTTTTTTTTTTTGTTTTGTTGCAGGCCGACGAGTCTGCAGCCCCGCTGCCCTCGGCTCTGCGGCACCGCCTCATCGGAGTGGAGATTGCCGCAGCTTCGGGCCTTCGGCTCCTGGTGCTTGCTGGTTATTTTCAGCACTCTCTGGGCCCCCGAGGCATCAACCTCGACTTGTTTTCGGCCATCTCGGAGGTGACGGGCTTCGATGCAGACATCCCGTGGGTCCTCCAAGCGGACTTCAACATGGAGCCCGAGCCCCTGGAGGAGTTGGGCTGGCCCGCGGCAGTGCGGGGGCACGTCCTGGGGCCCACGGAGGCGACGTGCCATGCCGAGGGCTGTGACCACCTCTACGACTGGTTCGTGGCGTCAGCGGCGTTGGCTGCATGCACGGCCTCCTGTGCCACCACGCTCGAGGGCTATGGTCTGCACCCTCATCGCCCTGTCCTACTTCGCCTACAAGATGTGCGGGCTGATGCGCTGGTCGAGGTTCCGTCCAGGCCCGCCCGCTTCCCCGAGGTAGCCCCTGAGCTCCTTCGGGCACACGAGGACGCGGAGATTGTGCGTTACTCGTTTAGCAAGAAGGGGCAGGTCACGTCCAGGGAGGTCTCGTGGTCCTGGGACGTGGGCTCTGCCCCGACCAGCCTCTCCGTCGCCTTCGGAGAGTGGGCGGCTGCTGCAGAGGGCACCCTGGTCGGCATCCACGGCATCGGCCAAGCTGACCTGGCCCGTCATCTCGGCAGAGGAGAGGGGCCGAGGCTGACCCTCAAGCCGCTCAGCGCCCTTGTCAGGCGGGAGGCCAGGTTCAGGTTCAGCCTCCTCACGCACCGCCTGAGGAGTTGCCTCGACGTGGCCCTCCAGCGGCTGCGCGCGGAGAGCTCGGGCCGATTGCACCCTCGGCATGCCGACTGGTACGAGCACCAGGCCGAGCTCAGGGCGCAGCTCTTGCGGGAGGCGGTGCAGGAGGCGGACGACTCGGTCGGTCAGGGTCTTCCTGGTGCTGCGCCTGAGAGGTTGAGCGACCTGGTGTACCAGGCGGGCGTCCGCGGCAGTCCTGAGGCAGTCCGTGACCTCCAAGGGCTGCTCTATGCTTCGCAGCGCCGCGATGCGGCTCAGAGCGCCCAGGCCTGGCGCAGCTGGGCCCAGACAGCGGTCGAAAAGGGCGGCCGCCTGGCCCACCGCTTCTCGAAGGCGACGCCCCCGCCGACGGTCAGGGATGCCGACTCGGGCAGGAGGCTGGCGGGTATGGCAGCGATTGGCGAACTCACGAGGGTCTGGCAGAAGCTTTGGCTCCAGGACGGGTTTGCCTCGGGCGCAGGGGCCAGCAGCTGGGATGTGGGCGAGTGGCAGTTGCCCCCCATCTCGCTGGAGCAGCTCCAGGCAGCCTGCAAGCGCTACAGCCCCTCTGTGGGCCTCGGGTGCGACTCCCTGCACCCTCGGCAGATCCTCCTTCTGCCAGTGGCGCTGCAGCTGCGCATCCTGGACATCCTGGCGGCCTACGACGAGGCCCCTGCATCGATCCACGGGCAGGGGAAAACTGATGGTGTTCATTCCGAAGGCAGGCGGTGGGGTAAGGCCCATAGCGCTGCTGCCGTTGATCCTGCGGCTCTGGTCGCGCCTCCGCCAACCGTGCTGTGCACGCTGGGAGGCTGACCACAACTTCCCCTTCTTCTGGGGACGTGATGGGCGGGACTGTGAGAGGGCTGGTTGGCTGCACAACTGTTTCGCGGGTTTCGCGAAGTCGAACCTGCAGTTCGAGGCCGCGAGCCTCTTCCTGGACATCAGCAAGTTCTACGAGCACGTGCGGCACGACGTTCTCTGGGCGAATGCGGTACGTTTCGGGTTCAACCTCAGGTTGCTGCGCGGCCTCCTCACGTCCTACCAGGCCCCTAGGATGATCCTCGCGGCGGGCATGGCCTCCCCCGCCTTCGGCACTACGGGAACGGTGCTGGCTGGGTGTGCGTGTGCGACAGCAGTTGCGAAGCTCCCAGTTCTGGGAGCCCTCCTGGCAGCGGGGGCGACGAGCCCGTTGGTCACGCCGAGGAATGTTGTCGACGATATTTCTCTCCAGGCGGTCGGCACGGCTCGGCTCGTGAAGCTGCAGATGGTGGCCGCCAGTTGTGAAGTGGTCCGACAGCTGCGTGAGCAGCACCTCCCACTCAACGAGAGTAAGTCGGTCTTCCTGGCCTCGTCGCCGCAGCTCGCCAAGGAGCTCTCTGAGGCTTGGGCGGAGCATGGCTTTACCTTCAAGAGGGGACTTCAGGCGAGGAACCTCGGCACCGACGCCAACATCACTCGTCGTGGAGTTCATGAAGGAGCTGTGCGTGCGGTCAGCGGCCTTCGCCGAGGACGCAGGCTAGGGGTGCTTCGCTCAGCTGGCGCGGTCACCGAGAGGGTTCATCGTGCTGGGCCCACCGCGGCGATGCTGTGGGGGCGCACTGTCACTGGCGTACCTGATAGGGAGCTGCATACGTGGCGCCTGGCGGCGATACGCTCAGCTGGGAAGTTCCCTAAGGGCGCCTCGCTCGGGCTGAGACTCAGAGTGGTGGAGGTCATGAAGTCCACCGATCTCGACCCGAGCCCCGCGCTGCTTCGTGCCGCGGTGCAGATGGCGGCCAGTCTCCTCCAGTCGGGGGAGGTCCCGCTGCGCATGTTCGAGTCGGCAGTGCAGGAGGCAGTGCAGAGGCATGCTGGGGCAGCAGCCCCTTGGGTGCACTGCCGCACGCCGGTGGATGCCCTGGCCCTCTCGCTCTCCAGGGTTGGCTGGAGGCTTGTTCTCGGGGCCCGCCTCGCAACCGACGACGGCCATCTCCTGGACCTGCGCATGTTGGGGCCGCGTGAGCTGGGCCTGCTGGCTGCTGCAGGGGCACGGCGCGCGTCGGACAAGTCGGAGCTGCCCGCCTCGGCCACGGGGCGCTCCCCCAGTCGCCCCTGTTCTGGGAGGCCTTCGCGGAGGTCCTCGGGCCTGGCAGCAAGCTCAGCCACAGGGAGAAAGCGGCGGTGGTGAGCTTCCTTTCCAACGCCCTCTGGCCCCAGACCCGTCTGCACTCGGCGGGAGAGAGGGAGCACGCTCGCTGCTGTGCCTGTCAGGCCCCCCGCGGCAGCCTCTGGCACAGGCTGTTCGAGTGTCCTGTCCTTGCGGGGGCCAGGCGTGACTCTACCTCTGACCGCCTTCGGCGCTGTGCGCATCGTGCACGCGGCCGTGGCGAAGAGGCGGGCGAATGTTTCGCGCGCTGCTGGCTCCCTCAGCCACCGAGGGCCGCCACGAGGACAGACGCCATGTCAGTCATGTGGTGCAATCGCCCTGCTGACGGTCTTCTCGGGGGGCGGCTCTATCTGGATGGGTCGGCGCTCGACCCTGAGCACGAGAGCCTGCGGCGTGCGGGATGGAGCATCGTGCAGTGCGACTCCGACGGCAACATGGAGTGCGCGGTGTACGGCAGCGTGCGCCAGGACCTCTGCCCGTTCCAGACGGCGAAGGACGGCGAGGACTTCGCGGTCTGGATGCTGTCTCGCTTCCTGGGCCCGAGCGTTGACGAGATCCTCATCGACTGCGCGTCCACGGTCAGCTGCCTCACGTTGGGTAAGAAGTACGCGACGGCAGCCAATAAGCCCAACGCCCACCTCTGGGAGGGGATCTACGCGTCGCTAGACGTGGACACGCTCAAGGTGACCAAGGTCGCGGCCCACTGCACCGCCAGAGACGTGATGGATGGCAAGATCACGGAGGCGGACCTCCGTGGCAACGGACATGCAGACCGCTGGGCCAAGGCGGGGGCGGAGCTCCACCGTACCAGCCCAGCTGCCAGGCGCGAGTTCTTTGGCACGATGGAGGTGGTGAGGGAGCTCTCGTGCTGGGTGGCGCAAGCCTCCCTCATCTGGCAGGGGATCAAGGTCAAGGACTGCGAGGGCCTCCCCGAGGGCAGCGAGCGGGCGGCCGTTTCCTTCGCAGTGCCAGTGGTGGAGCCCGCCAGCAGCCGCCCTCCCGACCCGTGTTCGAGCGACGGGTGGGCTTCGGCGGCGAGCGCTGGTGGCGTCTCCCTCGGGGCGACGGCCTTCGTCGTCGTCGGCCACGTCCTGGCCTACGCCAAGTGCGGGGAGGGAGCCGCCGAGCAGGAGCTGATGGCGTGCACCCACTGCGGGGCGTACGCGCGGCTGGGCGGGCGATCAGGTGCGGCGCCCAAGCTCAAGGAGCAGTGCCCTGGTTCGGCTGGGCTTCCCAAGGGCAGGAGAGACCAGAAGGCGCGCTGGCTGCAGGGGCGGCACCCTGCTGGCACGCCCCACAGCGGCAGCAAGAGGGTCGGGGCGTCCGTGCCCAGCTTGCGCAAGGAGGACGTTGTGCCGATGGCCGCCAGGGCGCGCTTCCTGGAGTGGCTGGGTGTCCGCCCCGATGATGCACCTGGCGGCGTGGCCGCCGACGCCGGCCGAGGGCCCCCCAGCGGCGCGGCGGCAGCAGGTGAGGCGGAGGCTGAGCCCCTGGCGCCTGACTCCTCGGGGACCTCGAGGGAGGCTTGGCTGAGCGCCTACGGGCTCGACGAAGCGAGCCTCCTTGAGTGGTCAGCCGCAGCAGAGACGGCGCGCGAAGACAGGCGCAAGAGACGCCGTCGCGCTGAAGGTGACGAAGGGGAGTGATGCAGCATCACTTTCCTCCTTCTGTTGTATTCGCCCCTCGTCACCTCTGTTGGCGCGCGTGTGGCAGCGTTTTCTGCCCCGCATTGTTGATGCAGCGAGGAGGATGTCAGGCGGATGGGCGCCTACGCCCCGCTGCTTTCTGATTTCTTTGAAATCGTGCGCTTCGCGCCTTGGCGCTTCGCGCCCTTTCCCTGGCGGCTCTCTTGGGGCCCCTAGGGTTGGCCCTTGAGGCCCTGGGGCCAACGGGCTCTGTGGGCCTCGGGCTTCTTTTAGCCTTCACTGGCCCCGCAGCTCACAGCTCACACAAGAGCACGGCAGGCCACACAGGAGCACGGCAGACCACACAGGAGCACGGCAGACCACAAAGGAGCACGGCAGACCACACAAGAGCACGGCAGACCCCACATGAGCACGGCAGACCCCACAGGAGCACGGCAGACCCCACAGGAGCACGGCAGAGCAGACCCAATAGGAGCACGGCAGACCACACAGGAGCAAGGCAAACCACAGGAGCACGGCAGACCGCACAGGGAGCAACATAAACGCGCCTTTTTGTTGTACCCCGAACGCCGCTGGCGTTTCCCCAACAGGAGCACGGCAGATCTAACAGGCGCGCGGCAGACCCCAAATGAGCACGGCCGACCACAGGAGCACGGCAGACCCCAAATGAGTACGGCAGACCCCAAAAGAGCACCGTAGACGCCTCAGGAGCACGGCTGACCACACAGGAGCACGGCAGCCTGGGCCGGTTCCGGCGCCGGCCGGCGCCGGAAAATTGAATTCCGAGGCGGTGCCGAAAAAAGGCCAATCCAAGACATATTTTTCTTTCGAAAATATTGATTTTCTGCTCCCGGCGCCCGGGAACCCCTTACGGGCCGCTTCTGGCACCCGGGCCGGCGCTCGAGCCAAACGCCCGGGCCAGCACCCGGGCCAGCGCCCGGGCCGGTTCCGGCGCCGGCCGGCGCCGGAAAATTGAATTCCGAGGCGGTGCCGAAAATAGGCCACTCCAAGACATAATTTTCTTTCGAAAATATTGATTTTCTGCTCCCGGCGCCCTGGAACCCCTTCCGGGCCGATTCCGGCACCCAGGCCGGCGGACGTGGCGCACGTACGCCTGGCCAGCACACGGGCCAAGCGCCCGGGCCGGTTTTTCCGGCGACGGCCGGAGCCGGAAATATTGAATTCCGAGGCGGTTGCGAAAAACAGGCCACTCAAGACATTTTTTCTTTCGAAAATATTGATTTATCCTGCTCCCGGCGCCATGGAAAACCCTTCCGGGCCGATTCCGGCACCCAGGACGGCGCTTAGTTACCGAAACGCCAGGGCAGGCACTGGGCTGGCGGCCGAAGCGCGATGCGCTGCCACATGTCCATGCTTCCGCCAAAGATCGGTACAGAGTGGGAGGGGACGGAGCTGGGCGGTGTAGGACCACAGAGCTCTGCTCAGCCTTCCTCAGCCCTGGGTATGCTGACAACACAGGAGCCGGCTAGACACGAGGAAGCGCGGCAAACCACCAAGGAGCAAGGCAGGACCCCAAACATGAGCACAGGCAGTCCAACGTTCGCATCTGCAGACCGCGTCGTCGTCGTGCAGACAGACACATGTGGCACATCTCACGGCAGACAAGAAGGAGCACGGCAGACCACACCAGGAGCACGGCAGACCCCCTCACAGGAGCACGGCAGACCACACAGGACACGGCAGACCCCACGGGAGCACGGCAGACCACACAGGAGCACGGCAAACCACACAAGAGCACGGCAGACCATACAGGAGCACGCCAGACCACACAGGAGCACGGGGCCGTAGCCATTTTGGCTCAAAGGAGCAAGGCAAACGGGAGGCCCTCGCATCCAGGCGGTGCGCAAGCGGCCATGGGCGGTTGGGCGGCGGCCAGCGCGCGCACGCTAGCGCGCCGCCTGCGGCGGCAGCGCAGGGCGGAGTTGGGCCCGTCGCGGGCGGCGGCGCTGGCCGAGCGGTGCCGCCAATTCCGGGCGTCGCTGCTGGCCCACTGGGAGCTGGGCGACACGCTGGGCGGGCACTGTGCCTCCCTCGGGGAGGCCCTGGTGGCGGCTCGGATCGCGCGCTTGCCCGAGCCGCTGGTCCAGGAGGCCGCCGAGGCCCTGGAAGGCGGCAACTGGGCGAGGCACCGCGCGCCCCCTGGTGCTGGGCGGCTCCCCTCCGCGCCTACGCTGGCTGACGGCGCGCTCAAGGCCGAGGTCCTGGAGTGGCGCCTGGCGGCCGAGGCGGCGGAGCAGGAGCCGACGCTGGTGGAGGACGTTGGCGGCGACGCAGGCGACCACGGCATCAGCTCCCTGAAGTCTGTGGCTGTGCCCGTTGCTGGGCAAGGCAGTCGCGTCCCCTCGGCGGCTAGTTTGCTGATGGCCGAGTTGGCACCAGGCGCATGGGACGCCGTGCCGCTCTCGGTGCACAGCAGCTTCGATCATGTGGACTCGTTCGGCAACTCGCAGGGCGGGTACGACGGCGAGCATCACGTGGCTGTGGACCAGGCCCCGTCATTCGAGGCGGCGGTCACGGCCTTTGTAGACGGCCTCGACGCTGGATGGCGCTTGGCCGAGCTGGCGGCCCATGGGGCCGAGTGCGCCGGTGCCGATATGGACGCGCAGTTCGACAGCCTGGCGCAACTGGAAGACGCCTGGGCGCGCCTTGCGGCGAGCGGCCAGACGCTGGAAGCGCAGCTAGCGAGTAGGCGGCAATCCCTCACCGCCACCCTCGCCAGCGAGCTCGGGCTGCCGAGCGGCGCCGTGGAGGCGGTGGCTGGCGCTGGCAGCACGCTCCAGGAGACGCCCGTGGGCGTTGAGATGGCGGGGGTGAGCTCGGCGAGCAGCACGGCATGCACGGCCACCTCTCGCGGCGCTGCTCAAAGGGCTGCGGTGGCGACCTACCTGTACGAGCACCCAGCGGCCCTCTTGCGCGGAGGTGGAGCGGAGGACGCAACACCAGCCGCGGAGGACACCGTGGAGTACCTGCAGGACGGTTAGCCTTGCGTGCGGACGCTAATTCCGTTTGCTCCGTGCATTCGCATTTCTTGTATTTGAATGTGTACGTGAGCTTGCAAAGCCTTGCGTGCGGACGCTAATTCCGTTTGCTCCGTGCATTCGCATTTCTTGTATTTGAATGTGTACGTGAGCCCTTCTGTGCAGCTTCGCTGCTTCTGCATGCCTCTCGGCACTGCCCGCCCTCGTGGCCCTGGGGCCTTGGCGCCCCCGTTGGCCCTGGCGGGCGTCTGGCGCTCCGCGCCCCCCCTGCGGTGGCCCCTTTCGGGCCCCCAGGGCTGGCCCTTGAGGCCCTGGGGCCAATGGGCTCCGTGGGCCTCGGGCTTCTTCTAGCCTTCATAGGCCCCGCGCGACACGACGCGACACACGTTCGCACGGCAAACCACACAGGAGCACGGCAAACCACACAAGAGCACGGCAGACCATACAGGAGCACGCCAGACCACACAGGAGCACGGCAGACCACACGTTCGCACGGCAAACTCCACAGGAGCACGGCAGACCCCAAAGGAGCACGGCAGACCACAGGAGCACGGAAGACCGCACAGGAGCACGTCAGACCACACAGGAGCACGGCAAACCAAGAAGGAGCACGGCAGACCACAGGAGCACCGCAGACGCCACAGAAGCACGGCAGATCGTCGTCGTCGTCATCGTCGTCGTCGTCTTCGTCAATAACGTTCTCGAAAATTACGACAAAAAACGATGACAGAAAACGACCACAAACATAACACAAAAACCAACCGAACACGGAATCCAACAACAAAAAAACAATCAGAAAAACGACCGCAATCATAAAATGATAACGACGGCGACAGCGAAAACGGCATCAGCGGACGATTATAATGGAAACGACGACCACCCACGACACTTGATTGGCGCGGTCGACGACGAGGACTATCAAAAGTCAAGACAGGCTGTGTATCTTGGAGTTTTTGTTTTATTTCTTGTCTTGGAAAACAGAAAAAATAGGCTGGGCGACTACGGGTGGGGGCCCGCGTGGCCGAGAGAAAAGCACGGTGTCGACACCATGATGTGGCCAGGGCAGCAGACTACCTCGACAGTCCAGCGCGGCAGGCCACCATTTAGTCTGTTCTGTTGCGTTTATGGGTTTCTCTGACGTTCTCGCCAATACGGTCTCTGACGCACGTGGTGGATAAAAAACGGCGCTTCCCGTTCTTGTACGGTCAGGTTCCCCAAAATGGCCATTTCGCTCGAGACATCCTCGAAAAATCGAGGTGTTGGAGGCTATCGTTTTATTTTTTTAAGACGTCTTTTTTGTAACCATGTCGGTTTCGCTCGAGTATCCTCAAACAACTCGGGTATGTTGAAATATCAAAAATTTTTGGTTATGCATGAAATATGACCGTTGTCGCTCGAGGAGTCCTCGAATTATGAGATGACCGGACTGAGGTGTTTAGAGCCTTTATGTTTAAAATGATCGTTTTCTGCTCTGGGACGTCCTCAGAAAATGAGAGGTGGTCTTGCCCGTGATCCTGTGTGGAGCACGTCGCTCCACGGCCATTCGCTCGAGGGTGTCCCTCAAAATATCGAGGGGTGGTCTGCCGATGCTCCTGTGTGGTCTGACCGTGCTTCTTTTCACTTTCTTTTCTTTCGTTTTTTTGTTCGTTTTTCCATTCGCAGCTGCCGTGCTCCCCACAGGAGCACGGCAGACCGCGCGTAGGAACCGTGAGGAGCACGGCAGACCAAGACGAGGAGCACGGCAGACCAGGCTTAGGAACCGAGAGGAGCACGGCAGACCAAGACGAGGAGCACGGCAGACCAGGCACCAAGAGCGCCCTCAAGACGACGGAAAGGATGACCAAGACGAGGAGCACGGCAGACCAAGACGAGGAGAACGGCAGACTATGCCCTAAGAGTGCCCTCAAGACGGCCGAACAACGGCAGACCCCATAGGAACACGGCAGACCACAGAAGAGCACGGCAGACCAACAGGAGCACGGCAGACCACACAAGAGCACGGCAGGCCACACAGGAGCACGGCAGACCACACAGGAGCACGGCAGACCACAAAGGAGCACGGCAGACCACACAGGAGCACGGCAGACGCCGCAGGAGCACGGCGGAACCCACAGGAGCACGGCAGACCACAGAAGAGCACGGCAGAGCAGACCCAAAGGAGCACGGCAGACCACACAGGAGCAAGGCAAACCACAGGAGCACGGCAGACCACACAGGAGCACGGCAGACCCCACAGTAGCAAGGCAGACCCCAAAGGAGCACGGCAGACCACCGGAGCACGGCAGAGCACACAAGAGGACGGCAGACCCCACATGAGCACGGCAAATCCCAAATGAGCACGGCAGACCACAAGAGCACGGCAGACCACACAGGAGCACGGCAGACTCCACAGGAGCACGGCAGACACAAAGGAGCACGGCAGACCACACAGGAGCCCGGCAGACGCCACAGGAGCACGGCAGACGCCACAGGAGCACGGCGGATCCCACAGGAGCACGGCAGACCGCGCGCGGGTACAACATAAACGCGCCTTTTTGTTGTACCCCGAACGCCGCTGGCGTTTCCCCAACAGGAGCACGGCAGATCTCACAGGCGCGCGGCAGACCCAAATGAGCACGGCCGACCACAGGAGCACGGCAGACCCCAAATGAGTACGGCAGACCCCAAAAGAGCACCGTAGACGCCTCAGGAGCACGGCTGACCACACAGGAGCACGGCAGCCTGGGCCGGTTCCGGCGCCGGCCGGCGCCGGAAAAATGAATTCCGAGGCGGTGCCGAAAAAAGGCCACTCCAAGACATATTTTTCTTTCGAATATATTGATTTTCTGCTCCCGGCGCCCGGGAACCCCTTCCGGGCCGCTTCCGGCACCCGGGCCGGCGCTCGAGCCGAACGCCTGGGCCAGCACCCGGGCCAGCGCCCGGGCCGGTTCCGGCGCCGGCCGGCGCCGGAAAATTGAATTCCGAGGCGGTGCGGAAAAAAGGCCACTCCAAGACATATTTTTCTTTCTGCAAGTACTGAAATGTTATCTTGATAACTTAAGTAGCGGAGCTGGGGTCCACGGACCTTGCCCGACAGGGCTGGTGAAATCCTTTTCCACCTCAGCATGAACTGAGCCAAAACTGGCTCTCCACAGTACACAAATGTCACAACAGCGCATGCACAACAATCCTCACTCAAATCACTGATATATACATTGTTTCCTGCACTCCTCCTCGGGCCCATCTGCAGCTTCATGCCAAGATCGGGCACGCATTCTGGAAACATATCAATATCGAATCATAGCCAGCGAGTGAGGGTGCCAAATCCCGACAAACCCATCAACACTGTAGATATTGTCCTGCCTTATGTCGTTGAGGGCGGTCGCCACACAAGCTTCGACCACCATCGCCTTTGTATATGTCGAGACGGCCCGATCCACCCGCCGTAGTCGTAGAAACTCCCGTCCACTGTCTATAGTCATAGCTGTGAACATAGCCCGAAGATCATTGACCACGATTTTGCTCGTAGCTCCGTTCTTCATCGTGTCCTTCAGGCTGTACTGAGTTGAGGCATCTTTCTGTGCTGACTGCGTGATACGGTCGATGTGCTGCTTGACTTTGAAGACTGCACTCGTTGCGACAACACTCAAAAGGGTGAGCATCATCATCACGACCGTTGTGGAAACGCCAAAATGGCTCTCATCATCTGCAGGGCTTGAGATCGCGACTGGCTGAAACTCCTTCTCCACCAACTCAGTAGCGTCCGCACGTCCAAGTTGAAGAAACGTACCAAAACCCACCAAGCATTGAGTAAGTGCTCCCATCAGCTCCAGCGCCGGCTTACCGATCTGGCCCTTCTTCTCGTTGCTTGAACCCGCAACTTCACCAACCTCACCTTTCCCAGTGAGCCATACCTTCATCGCCGTTAGGTGCTTCATGAAATCTACCCTCGAAAGATGTTTCGTCCCAATATCTGCGGTGTTCTCGTTGGTGTGAACTTTGCTCGTGCTGACCTTCGTCTCAGCCTTGCGTGCAACTAGGTCCTTGATCCACAGATCCTTCAACTCGATGTGCCTCATCCTGCCAACTCCCTTCTTCTCGACATTCGTGAGAGCGCTGGAGTTGTCACTCTCCAGCGTCACTGGTACAGTTTCGTCCAAGAGCTCCTTGAGATAAGTCTGTGCTCCTCTCGCCTCAATCCCGACATGCACGAGTGCGTTAAACTCAGCTTCGGGCGACGAGAGTGCTGGTGCCCCCTGAGTCTTGACGAACTGCATGATCAAAGCTCCATTGAGAAACAACTGACCACAACTTGTAGACTTCCTCCCGATAGGATCCTCTGCCCAATTAGAGTCTGCACGTCCGATAACCTTGAACTCGCCGCTGTATGGATACATGCACGTGACTGAAGATGGGTGAGCTCGAATGAACCTGATGATACGCGTGAGCCTCGTCTGGTCCTGCACCGTCGGTCGTGACATCCCCCTCGAACACTCCTTCGCTGCGTACTGACACTCGGGCCTTTCCAAACACACGAACATGTTGAGGCCGTTGACGCTCCTGAACTTCGTGGCCGCTTTGGAATCCAACTCCTCCTCGCTCTCGACCTTCTTCTCGTTCTTGACTCCTGGTATTGGGCTCGTCTTCTTATCATTGGGCTCAGAGTCGAGTAGCTTCTTGACAATAGCAGGCCACATGCGAACTTGAATACCTTCGGGGGTGCGGAGCCAGCCACGTCCAAGGTGCTTGATCTCAGGACCACCAACTGTGAGCTCAGAAACTTTCAGTAGAAAATGTGTGCCGAGCTCCTCCAACACTTTGCTGGCTGAAACTCTGGGTCCCACCAGAGTGCCATCGTCAACGTGCTTGGACATAGCAACTTGATTAGCCTTGTCCGCGAACGTACACGGGTCAGAAAGAAACCTCTTGAACGTCATCTTAGATCCATCATTCCGTCCTGTAGCGATGTTCTCAAAGTGGTCGTCGAAATCGATCATCGCCTCGTTGAGTCCGTAGACGGTCTTATTGAGCTTGAAAGCCCAATCCGAACCATCGGGAAGATGGCAGTACTCCTTCGGGACCTCTGCGTACACCAACTCCCGAATCGGCGTGTACAGAAACGCTCGAGATATGTCGAAAAAGAAGACGGCGAAATCCTTAACGATAGCGTAGACCATGAGCAACTTGAGTGAGAACGAAAGTGGAGTAGGGCAGTACAGCTCATTCTTGCTCTTGTTGACCTGCTTGCCGAATGGTCGCGCACAAAGCCTAGCCTTGAGCTCGCCGCTCCTCATCTCCAAAACCCAAGTCCACGTAAGTGCCTTAGGCCCGTGAGGGTCCCTCAGCGTGAGCTCCCACACGTCGTAGTTGTCGAGCCGATCTAGCTCGCACTGCTTCGCCCCCCACTCGTCGTCCCCGGTCCAGCCCATCACGATGCTGAACTTGCTGTCGTCCTTTAGCTCCTTGTCGACCTCGCCCACGAGCCTCATCATCTCCTCCGTGCTGAAGCCCGCCACGAGCCTCTTGAGGTCGCCAGTACTCAGGCTCTCGATGGCTCCCACCAGGCTTCGATTCCCAGGTGGGCCTCCAGGGCCGCCTTCACCGAGGTCAGCGTCAGCAGCTCCTCGCTTGGCGGGTGCCCCTGGAGCTGGTACTCCCTGCTTGCCTCGAAGCCTCCTCTCGATCTTCTGCACCTCCCGACGAACGGCTTCAACTGGATCTTGACCTTGTGCTGGTTCTGGCCCTGCTGGTCGCTGTGCTTGCTGCTCGCCGTTGTTAGCCTCCGAGCTGGCCGTAGGTGCAGGAACCACGACCACCTTCGGCTGTTCGTCGTCCTTTCTGGCGATTGACTTCTCGTACTCGGCCCGACGCTGCTGGCATGTCCTGCTGTGGTGTGGTGGCCGTCCTCGTCCGTGCTGACCTTTGGCTGCATACTCACACCCAGGGCATCCTTCCGTCGGCTGCCAATTCTCGCCTTCGTAGACTCCAGCTCTAACCGAGGTCCTCCAAGGCGTCCAACGCATGGCTTTGAGCATCTCCATGTCGAAGCTCTCCTCAGTCGTCAGCTGCTTCACTGTCCTGGCCTGAACTACCCCCGTCGCCGTGCCGATAAGATGAGCATCACTCTTCGAACTGCGTCCGAGCCACAGTCCCTTGCACCAGGCTGTACCCAGCTTGTCCTGCAGCTCCGTGTGCTCCTTGCCGATCACTGTCTCTCCGAACTCCAGCATGGGTGAAGTGTACGGTGCCAACCTGAGCTCCTCGAAAGATGTGCGACCGCTGCTCCTCCTCCGCTGGTACCTGTTGTGGCAGAATATCTGATGCCGAATCATCCAAGGTATGAGAGGTACATCCTCAGTGAACTTCATGTTGTAACGCTTCTCCAGAGCCAAACGCCCAGTCCTAGCAAGACCTGCAACCGACTTGACTCCACTCTCAACTCCACCTTGAGAAGCGTGGCTTCCTTTTGGAACTAGCCGTACTCGAAGTTGAGCTTCAGCTGCCTCTTTGCCGAGCTTCTTGATACGCTCCGAGATCACTCCATTCATGAGTGCCTCCAGTGCTGGTTCTCCGTCTAACTGAACTTCCATGCTCATGTAGCCCAGCTCGTCCAGGTACTCGCTGATGGCCGCTATAGCGTAGCTCTGATTGCCTTTAGCTTCCACGACAACTCCCATGAGGTAGCCTGTCCTTCTGTCCTTGCCGACTGCCAGGGTAAGACGCCGACCTGATCCATCTTCACCGAGACTGAGAAACCCATAGTCGAATGATACAACTGGAGTAGCCGATGCGTTTGGATCTCTCGCGCGATGAGGGTCTTCTTGCCCTCGTCCCATCATGCACTCCTGACACCAAGCTTCGAAAGGAATGTGACCTCTCCGAATGTGCGCTCTGACATGTTCTCCTGACATCCGAGCTGGTCTCTTGAGCCCGGGTGCGACGGGCGTCCCCGTCTGATCTGGAACTCCTTCTGCGACACCACGTGGGCCATCACGTGAACTAGCCGCTCCACTGTCAGCCTGCACCTCCACAGGCTGCGTCTCGACAGGCTCCTCCTTCATCTGCTCGTCGTCCTTCTCAGAGTGGTCCTCGACATCGCCGATGATGGACTCGTAGCCTGTCGGATCCTTGAACCTCATGGGAAGAAGAAACGCATTCACCTTCCGTCGTAACCGCAAAGTCACTGTCGACTCGATCGCTTTATCTATCTCGTGCTGCACATTCTTGTTGCTTTTGAACATCTTGGCTCCGTCAGGATCAAAGTGTACCGAATAACCTGCATCATTCATCTCTGCAACTGAAAGGGCACCTCTACGAACTTCAGCTGGCGTGACGTCTAGCTTTGCAAGAAGCGACGTGTTCGAATCGAAGACCTCACCCGTCAACGTCCGCTTATCCCAAGTCCGAATACCCTTACCAGTAATGGATCGCAGAGACTGACCTGGCTCGCCTGTGAGCTTGCACTTCTCCGTCATAGCCTTTGGTACAACATGAGTGTGGGCTCCACTATCCACGAGCATCTCGCATTCGTCCCCGTCAGTGTCGTCCGTAAACGCAAAAATCCAACCCCCTTCGTCATCTGGTAGTACTGCTGCCTGTACGCGTCCAGTTCCACATACTCGTGTCTGTGACGCTGAATCTCCTGGATGGACCGTACTTGCTGAGCCCGATCCTGGAGCTGGCTGAAGTCCTGGCTGGACCTCAGAAACGGATCGCTGACCTCCTCCAGGCTGGTAAGCGCCGCCGCCGTACTTCCTGCAGTCCGCGATCTTGTGCCCGTGCTTGCCGCAGTGGGGGTTCGAACACCATCCGTCGAAGAGCTTCGTCTCGCCCTTCTTGCTCTTCATCTTGTTCTTGCCGTCGCCCTTGCCACCTTTGCCGCACGAGCTCTGCCAAGCACTCCTTTGACTGCTCGACTTGCCACCGCTGCCCTTCTGGTCCGACTTGCCGCCGAAGCCCATGCCCTTGGAATCGCCCTTGCCGCCCTTGTCGAAAGCGTCTACGTCCATGGCGTTCGGGTCGAACTTCTTCTTGGTCACCCTCGGGTCGCGCTGCATCATCTGCTGAGCGAAGGCCTCGCAAGTCTCCCGTAGGATCTGGTGGTTCGTGAAGGTCTGCATCATCACCTGAGTCTTCAGTGGCTCGGGCGTGTTCTTCTTGATCAAGGCTTGGACGAGAGTGTCTGAGATCACTTCTGAAAACTTCTCTTGATATCGGTTCATGTCCAGTAGAAACCTCGTGAGCTCCTCGACGTAGGTCTCCCACTTGCCTGAAAACTCTGTGTTCACAAGAAGCTGCAGCTGCGTCACCTTGTTGGAGCCAGTGGCCGCATCCTCGCGTAGACAAAGACGTCGCCACTGCTCCAGGCCGTTACCTGGCTCACAATTCATCACCAAGGTCAACGCGCTGCCTCCAAGCAACTGTGATAGAATGTATCCCATCGTCGCTGCAAACTGCTTGTTGTCGTCACCCATCTCTGAAAGCGTGATGACGTTGCCGTGGGTAGCTGCTGTCGTGACCGCTTGTGCCAATCTCGGGTCGATGGCGCCCAAGTAGCTGATCAGCTGATATCTGAAGGTCGGGAACTCGTCGCGGTTGCCTGAGTACTTATTGGGTCGTCCCAGCAGGCGCGTGTCCACAAGACCAGCCATCATGAGAAGAACAGAAACCAATCGCGCTACCATGCAAGTACTGAAATGTTATCTTGATAACTTAAGTAGCGGAGCTGGGGTCCACGG